GACACATTCATTTAATTTGTTTCATTTGCATTTACATCTTTCCCGATGAGCGGTGTTAATTTGCGAAACGCGAGATGCATATTACGCGAGTTACTTCCCAAACAGCAAATTTGCTAATTGTCATCAATAAACATACATAATGTTATTACAGCGAGTATTCCATCGAGGTCCGCGCGATGCAGTGAAACTGATGTACTGCAAATCACTTCGATGTAACATAGAGAACATTCCATCAAATAACGCAACAATTCGCAGTTTCAAACGATAGTCAGCAATAATATTGTACATGGTGCCAATAATGCCTTTCCGCTTAATCCGCATTTTCCGATCGAACGCATATTGTCTGAATATATATTTGCACGTCACATTACTGTTAGTTAAAAATTCAGAGGAATCCCAAACATAGTTGATTAAAAAATTGATTCAAAAGATTCAAGCAAAATTCCTAAATCGAAAATGTCAAATATTATTGACACCAAGTATATCCCGGAATGCGTTAATCTTATATTTGTTAAAAAAATATTTCGGGCGTACCCTTGAAATAAATTACGATTTTTAGGATGAAAAATACTTACGTGACAATTTTTTAAACGAAAAGCATGAAATATTAGGTATTTCATGCTTTGGACGATTTATTTTTGCGTATGCTTATTTTTCAACTGTTTTCTATATTACGCGACATATAAAATTATATCCCGTCTAATGTAAACTTTATTTTTACACGACGAATGCAATTATTTAATAGAAGAATTAAAAGATTATTTAATAATAAGTATTTTTTAATATTGTCGGATAACAAAATAGAAATTTAATTCAAGCTACACTTTAGCATTTTAATGTATCGAGTGTTTCATCACGTAAAACGGATCGCCCCTCAATTTCGATAGTAAATTGTTCTTCCATAAGTGCAATGCAGTAATGTAATTAATTAATGCTTCCCTCTCGGTCATCCGGCAAAATAACGCGCTTGCTATACGACATTTTTCCACACTTGTTTGTACAGCCTCATATTTTCTCTGTAATAAACTCTTGTATATTTACACTGCGAGAGAA